TTGAGTTCATGTATATATTAAATATGACTAGAAATGTATGCAGATTAAAAAAAAAGAACCCAAAACTTTTAAATACAGTATTGTAGTAATGAGAATCTAATGAGAATTACTATTGAGAATAATATGTTTATTTATTTCTTTTTAATTTTATTTTTTTAAGAAAAATATTATTATACAAATAATTGTTTCTAAACTAGCCTTCATTTGGAGCCAAAAAAGGGTGAAATGTTGAGCTGTGTGTGTGTGTGTGTGAGATAGTGTGTGTGTGTGTGAGTGTGTGTGAGTGTGTGTGTGTGTGTTCTTTTGTTTCTCTTTCTCTTCTGGGAAAGCAACCAAAAATATAAATCCACATCCAATCAAATACTCCCTAGAATCTCCCCAGATATTAAAGCAAACTAAAGAAGCACACTGCAGGTGAATCTCACAAAAACATGGACCAGATCATGTTTCAAATCTGAATCTGAAGGGAAAAAAAGCAAGAAATTATCATTAGGACTGCTTAGTGACATTCTCATTAATGCAAAGCAAAAAAAAAAAAACATTACCTAAGTAATTACCAAAGTATTACCTGTAACGTATGCATATTAAAAAATGTATATATATAAATATATTATTAAATATGACTGATCATTTATGAAGATTACAAAAAAAAATCTTAATTTTTACTGTATAAGAAAAAATATAGTATTACAGTAATGAGAATCACTACTGAGAAAAATATTTACTATATATATATATATATATATGGAAAATATTTTAGGACCAATAAGATGCTTTGCAATGAGTCCTATTAAATATATTATAAGACTCATTGCAAAGCATCTATTATGCAAAGCATAATTTTCTTCAAGCAAATAAGCAAAAAAAAATTAATTAATGAATTAATGAATGAATCAATGTATCTAGTTAGTTAGTTAGTTAAATACAAATGTATGCATCGGCCTATGTAGTGCAAGTAGCTGTCATAATGCTGAAATTCTTCTCATGCAACCGAAATTTTGCAGTCAGTCAAACATAAACATTTGGGTGAAACTTGAACAACTGTTTGCTGACGAGCTTTAGAGGGTTCAGGTGTTAATTAGCGGGTCAGACTCCTCAAGGCCATCATTTGCGTCCTGTCACACAATAGAAGACCTGCTAATTACTGGATTGTGCGTCGAGCGAGACAGATAAAATACAGCTTTCTGTTGATAAGGCATTCTGTATTTTTGTCTTTAAGGCTGCTGATGGAGTAACATTAATAGGAGCTCCTGCGGATGAGCTTCTATGGCCATCATCAGAGCTCAAATGAGGCATTAGACCCCAACGACGCCTTTGAACTTCTGTGTTCAACAACAGAGTCTTTGTTCAAGTCTCATCAGATCGGACTGACACACATTCAAAGCACTTTCACAGTCCCAACCCTCTCCAGAACACAGCTCTGCTTTTCTATGCACTCCTCATGATTTGAGGTCACAACAAAGGAAACACCAAAGCTGGAAGATTCACACGGGTAAATGTTTATTCTTGCCCTACATCTGTCCCAGGGCTTTATTTGATCTATAAAGGAACAGTCCAATCAAAATGAAATGAATTTACTCACTGTCATGTCATTTCAAATGGTTGTCCTTCTGTGGAAGAAAGGTGTGTGTGTGTGTGTGTGAGAGAGAGGGGCCTCGATTTTCATCCATCATTCATTTTTCCTTCCCTCTCATTCATTCATTCCTTACCTCCAGCAAACGGAGTCCCATCCAGCCAAGAATAGACACAAAAATAAGCTCATATTTGTGTTTAAAGCCAGTGTTTCAGTACATTTGAATAACTGGTTCTGAGAGATATAATCTGCCTTGGGGTGTATTATAATAGCTCTCAGAGGAGATGTAGCACCCGGGTCCAAAACTGAGAAAAAGTGCCTGTGAGTGTGTGTGTGTATGTGTGTGTGTGTGTGTGTGTGTGTATGTGTTTGTGTTTATGTGTGTGTGCGTGTGCGTGTGCGCGTGCGCGTGCGCGTGCGTGTGCGTGTGTGTGTGCGTGTGCGCGTGTGTGTGTGTGTGTGTGTGTGGATCTTTTGTTTATTTTACAAGAAAATACTATTTCAGCTTTTCTACATCAACATAATGTTTAATGAAATGTGTTTCTTGCTGTTTCCTTGTAATTGTGAACTTTACTAGCAACTTCTGATTGAAAATGTCATTTTTTTTAATTAATAAAATACACAAAAAATATTTTCAAATACAACAATTATTTAAATACATTTTACAAGAAAATACTCAGCTTTTCTACATCAAAATATCACATTTAATTAAATATTTCTTGCTGTTTCTTTGCAACTGTTAGTGAAATTTATTAGCAATTTCTGATTGAAAATTTAATGTTTAATTTTAAAAAGTTTATAAAAAAATGTACATTGTAAAAAAAATTTTTTTTTCCAAGTTGTAAATAAAACAATGATTTTTTTAGCACATTTTACAATAAAATACTCAATTTTCCTACATTAAAATGTCACATTTAATTGAAATTTACGAGCCATTTCTGATTAAAAATTCACATTTAATTAATAGTTAGAAGTATTAAAATAGTAATAGTTAAATAATAGTTCAAATAAATTAAAAGAAAAATTTAAAATGTACACTAAAACATGATTTTTGAAGTTGTACATACAACAACGATTATTTGAGGTTTTTTTTTGTTTACATCAAAATGTTTCATTCAGTGGGTTTCCCGCTGTTTCTTTTTAATTGTTTGTGAAATGCAACAGCAATTTCTACGTTAAAATTAAAAGTTACAATTATTTCTGCACCAATTATTTTCAGTGTATGTCTCATGCATTATATTGAGGAACAGACTGAAATCTGTGAATTTGTGCAAGAGTGATTTTTTTATTGTTTCAGGTTGTGCAAAATTCCTTCATTTATTCTAAAGAAATAAAAGGTTTGTCTTCACAGTCTTTTATCAGCCGCTCTTATTCTTCATCCAGCTTTCATAGAGACACTCTTCTTCATCCAATGAATTCCTCAAAGATAAAATATAAAAAAATGACGTCTCATTCGTATAGTCTTGAAATGTGAATACTGCTTTCTGAACATCAGTTCATGTAGACTTTAATGTCTTGGGCAAGAAAAGAAAAGAAAAAGAAAAGAACGAAACTCGGTCTGTTTAACTAAAGGTCAGGCTCTTGTGGGTGTGATACAAATTTCTGCTTTAAATACAGAAAGTGTTCAATTTAAATAGTTAAAGGGCAAGAAAGAATATGTGCATGAGAGGCCTCAAAAGTTACACAATTAACAGAGTATTTCACCCAAAAATGAACATTTGCTGAACATGTGCTCACCCTCGGACCAAGATTAGGATGAGTTTGTTTCTTCATCAGATTTGGAGAAATTGCATCATCTGACGGCACCCAATCACTTGCAGTGAGACACTGATGCAATTTCTCCAAATCTGATGAAGAAACAAACTCATCCTGATCTCAGATGCCCTGAGCATGTGCATATTTTTAAGCACATTTTAATTTTTGGGTGAACTATTCTTTTAAAGCTACAAAACTGACCTAAATCAGAGCGAGTCCATAATAACAGTGTGTGTTTCTCACCGAACATACACTCATTTTCTCACCTCGAACCGAGCTCGCTGTTCTTTAACCCATCGGAAATTCACGCCTCGGGCTTCACTAGGAATATTCTAATGTTATGCAGGTGAAAATAGGTCCGGCACTACATCATGGGGAAGGGATATGGCTTTTGGCTGATAATATGACAGCGAGAGAAAAGTGAGCGGTTAGGGAGCGATGTCCCGCCAAACTTCCACGAAGGAAGCGTAAATGAGCTCGCTGAAGCGGGGAATGAGGTGATAGATTTTAATCAAGCTAAAGGCACCCAAGAGACCCGCAGTAAAACTGAACGGCCGCCGTGCTGTTGTGCGACACGCAGAGACCATATACTCATTTAAAGACAAGAGAACAGAACAAAAACACAGAAAACGCTCATAATTCCATTACGGCATAAAACACAACATATGTAACACTCTGTATATGAAGAGTCATGCATTATAAACATGCACTAGTGATCATACTGAACATTTTCATCTGCTGGATTCCCTGGATTTCAGAGTTGATGAAAAGCTAATAATTAAGTCTGTGAAATGTAAAATTAAAATACATGTGATATAGGCATGATATAAAATCTAGTCTAATGCGCTGTATTTCAAAGTGAACTGTGGCGCTGTGTTCATTTACACACAGCAGCTCGTGATCCGACCTGTTTAAGAGATAAATATAAGTATTGTAGCATATAGTGTAAAATTATTAGAATTATGTGATTTATAAAAGCAGGTTAATATATTTCTATTTTTATTTTGTAATTACAGTTTAAACAACAACAACAACAATAATAATAATAATTAGTCATAATAATAATAATAATATAAAAATAATAATTAATGTCATGATGATAATAATAAAATGTATTATCATTATCGTAATTGTAAACAATAACAACACTATTAATTTATCATCATAATTGTAATTAAAAATAAAGATAACAAAAGTAAATTTGTAAACATTATTATCATCATCGTAATTGTAAATAATAACAACAACAACAATAATATTAATAATAATAATTAATGTCATGATGATAATAATAACATTTATTATCATTATAGTAATTGCAAACAATAACAACATTATTAATTTATCATCATAATTGTAATTAAAAATAAAGATAATAGTAATACATTTGTAAAATTATTATTATCATCATCATCATAATTGTAAATAATAACAACAACAACAACAACAACAACAATAACAATAATAATAATAATAATTATTATTATTATTATTATTATTATTATTATAGATGTTTGAGTTCTCTTTAAAGTCGAGCTGCAAAGTAAAAAAATTAAATACTTACTAAAAAGATTCAATATTTGATCTATTTACTTCCATAATATGTGATCATTAATCGGCATCAGAAAACCGTGAATGTGCAAATGTGTCATTAAATTAAATATTAATCTCGGGGGAACTTGAAGTGAATATTTCAGGTTTTGGTTGACAAAATAAATAGTGTATCCCTGTGCTGGACGATAAAACAGGCGGACAAAAATCCCACAGACGCACATTAAAGGAGGGACCCAAGCCATATGTGAGATAGGAAGAAAACACCTAGCAACCACACAGATCACCCTAGCAACCACATAGCAACGCCTTGGCAACCAGCAGAGTGAGTGTTTCATGATTCAGTCATATATTCAGACCGTGCATCTGTAGGCTTCATCTCATCTCATCCAGCGTCTGACACACTCCACTGCACATCTACAGCAGCGGCCCGCGGGCTCCATCCTGATGAACCGGCATCAGACCCCCGTGAGCCTCTGGGTTTTAGGCTACATCACGACCCAAGAATCCTGCAGAAATGATACGCTTACAAACGCTTCAGCAGATGCAGCACTCAGATGCTGCTCAGGAGTTCTGCTGCAGTGAAGGATCAGCTTTATCTCCTCCATGTTTCTCCTAAAATTAGAGGAAAAATACACACAAATGAGTCCATAATAATAATAATAATAATGTTATTGTTGTTGTTATTATTATTGTTATAATTACTACTACTATCATAACTGTAAATAATAATAATAATAATCATCATCATCATCATCATCATCATCATAACAATAACAACAATTAATTTTTATCACTATAATAACTGTAAATAGTAATAATCATAATAGCATTAATAATAAGTTGGATTATTATTATTATTATTATTATAAATAATAATAATAATAATAATCATCATCATCATCATCATCATCATTATGGTAATTGTAATTATTATTTTTATTTTTACTATAACGGAAATGCAAAATAATCATAGTAAATCATAATAATAATATTTATAATTAACATTATCATTATTGTAAATAATAATAACTTTATTATTATTATTATAATTATCGTAATTGTAAATAATAATTATAATGATCAAAACTGTAAATAATCATCATCATAAATAATGATTATTATTATTATTACAATTATCGTAATTGTAATTATTATTATCACTATTAATAACAAAAAATAATAATAGCAAATAATAATAATAATAATAATAATAATATTTATAATTAATAGTATAATAATTCATGAACATTATAGTCATCATAAAGCAAGATTACACCGTAAATAAAACAAGGATTGCAGTGTTTTACAAGAAAATACCATTTCATTTTTACTACTTCAAAATGTCACATTTAATTCAAATGTGTTCAATGTGTTGTTTCTTTGTAATTATTTGTGAAATGTATTACCAATTTCTTTTGCATATTGAAATATCTGGCATTTGAGACATTGATGAGATCTCAGAAACTCTGGAGGAGAAATATCTTAGAACATTTTATTTTAATTTACTTGTATTTAAATGCTCTTCTTCTAATCTGAATGGCATTGTACTGAATATAATAACCAATAATGCAGCAGCTTCACAGTGTTTGTTCAGCTCTGGCCCAGTCAAACTCATAACCATATGAATATGTGATTTGACACAGTTAATCAGCATCTCTTTCAGAAAAATTATTGCTTTTGTCTGCTGTGCGTGCTGAGATTAGATTTACATTAAGACGTATTTCACATTGCATACTTTAACTCAGGCCCTAAAATCCTTTGAGATGTGTTACATTAACGCATTTAGAGAAATGTAGTATTGTATCACTTGTTCACTGCAAGTGCATGGGTGCCGTCAGAATGAGTGTCCAAACAGCTGATAAAAACATCACAATAATCCACAGCACTCCAGTCCATCAGTTAACATCTGGAGAAGACAAAAGCTGAAACAAATCCAGCATTAAGACGTTTTTAACTAAAATACATAGAGTCCATAATCCATAATAACACTTCCTCCAGTGAAAAAGTGCATCTGCTGTCGTCTCTCGCATCAAAATCCAGCGACATATTTGTTTAGAGCTGTTTAAACGCTGCTTGATCTGTGCAGATTTCTCTCCTGATTCACACCAGAACACTTTTTCACTGGAGGAAGCGTTATTATGGATTATGGACTCTATGTATTTTAGTTAAAAACGTCTTAATGCTGGATTTGTTTCAGCTTTTGTCTTCTCCAGATGTTCACTGATGGACTGGAGTGCTGTGGATTATTGTGATGTTTTTATCAGCTGTTTGGACTCATTCTGACGGCACCCATTCGCTTGTAGTGAGACACTGATGCAATTTCTCCAAATCTGATGAAGAAACAAATTCATCCTAATCTCGGATGACCAGAGGGTGAGCAGATTTTCAGCAAATGTTCATTTTCAGGTGAACCGTTCCTTTAAGTCTACGGCAACCCATAGAGCAAGCTATGAAATTTGGCACATTTATAGTGCACAGTTATATGAATTTGTGGTTATGGTTTCAAACTTTCTGAACAGTTCGGCTTCTCATCATACTTTCTAACCAAAACTTGGCCTGAGAACAATTTCTGTGTTCCTCAGTTGCACTCATATGCTTTCACACGAATTCGAACATTCTGCTGTCCTCGGGTTTTTTGGATCAGGTTAAAACGCATTTGGAATCATTTCTGCTTGCTTTTGTATTTTATCATCTTGATGCAGCTGACATTGCACAGGGACCAATTCTCTCTATTAACTAGTTGCTTATCAGCATGCCTATTATTAACATATTGGTTGTTTATTAGTACTTATAAAGCACATATTCCTAATCCCACCCAACATCTAAACTTAGCAACTACCTTATAACTATTAATAAGCAGCAAATTAGGAGTATACTGAGGCAAAGTCAGTTAATGGCTTGTTAATGCCAAGAATTGGACATTGAAATAAAGTGTGAGCCATTGAACATTCTCCACATTGACTACACACTCACGCAGGTCTCTAGATGATATCTAATTGAAGCACAGCAAAACTGCATTTACCGTCTTCTCTTTTTTCCGCACGGAAGGCCTCCGTCACGCTGCTTGATGAAGGAATCTGGACCGGGACGAGCGTAACGTCTTTCTGACATATGACTGACATTTCATCACACGAGTAAAAAAGAGAAATGAGATTCAGACACATTTAAAAGAGCTAAAGTCGTATTGAAGTCTTTTCTTCAGATACTATTTGAAGTGACAGCTGCATCTCATTCAGCGCATCGCTGTTAAAAGTGTTTGAGATGGACGTTCGGCTGTTGTCTCGGGAATAAACTTCCACGGACTGAGTTTTATCTATTATGACTGCAACAATGCAAGAAGCTTCTTTCCCCGAAATTGTGTGTTTTTATTCTCTACTCCAGGTCTAAATCATCCTGAAAAGCTCTTGTGAAAAGAAATAGTTTATTACCCATGTTTATGGAGCTAAGAAAATTGCCCTCCAGTTTTGCAAGACCCAGAATCAGGTTGAATAAGTCTGACCCAACCTCTTTTTATCCCTGCTTACGAGCTTTTGCTAATTTTTTTATGTTTTAGTCAAATTTGCTGCTAGTTTGAATAGAAATGCATGAGGAAGCACACTCAGGAAATCATTTTATGCAGATGAGAGACACTGAAACGCCTCAATTCTCTGTTATCCTCAATTCTCTCCCATAGAGTCTTTGTTGTTTGGCAAAATGCATTTGGAAACGCTCCTTTTTTGAATCGCATTTTCATTTATATGCATGCATTAATGCAATAAGAAACCTCACAACCTTGATCCGGGTCTGTAAATCCACGACACATCGTGCATCAGGCCTGATTTCTCTTTCTAATCATGCATTCTGAAAGCCGAGCTCATCAGGAACACGCTTTGATGTTGCGTCTTCCAGTAAGACACGCGTGGATCATGGTTAATAGGATGCACCTTTGAAAAGCAATGATATGCGTACAGAAACTTCATGCTAGCACTTTATTAGTAAGCCAGTTAGAGTTGCTTGCTTGCTGTATAACATGTGATTAGCAATGTCACACATTTCATGAACACTAATGCCTGACATGTGCTTCACACCAGTGCTTAGCCAATGCACTGCATGCCTTTGAGCATCCTTAACATGTGCTCTTGCCTGCCTTTAAACTATGTGTATAGTATTTAAAATTGTCTATAATTATAATGTACTGCGATCGTTAAGAATTGCAGTCGACATTCAGAAAGCAGCGATGCACGAAATCAAGTTTAGATGCCTAGAAGCATCCAAATTCATATACAGTATATACCGGACAAAAGATTGGAATATTTAAGAAATGTTTATGCTTTTGAAAGAAGTCTCTTCTGCTCACCAAGGCTGCATTAATTTGATCAAAAATACAGTAAAAACAGAACAATATTATAATAATATAAAATATCTGTTTTCTATGTGAATACATAGTAAAATCAAATTCCTGTAAAGCTGAATTGTCAGCATCATTACTCCAGTCTTCAGTGTTAAAAATAAATAAAATACTTTTATTAATCAAGGACGCATTAAATTGGTGAAAAGTGACAGTAAAGACATTTATAATGTTACAAAAGATTTCTATTTCAAATAAACGCTGTTCTTTTGAACTTTCTATTCATCTGTGAATCCTGACAAATAAAATGAATCACAGTTTCCACAAAAATATGAATGTTTTCAGCATTGGTAATAATCAGAAATGTTTCTTGAGCAGCAAATCAGCATATTATACTGATTTCTGAAGATCATGTGACACTGAAGACTGGAGGAATGATGCTGAAAATTCAGCAGCGCATCACAGAAATAAATTACAGCTTAACAGATATTCACATAGAAAACAGATATTTTAAATTACAAAACTATTTCACAATTTTTCTGTATTTTTGATCAAATAGATGCAGCCTTGTTGAGCAGAAGAGACTTCTTTCAGAAACATTAAAACTCTTAATTGACCAGTAGTGTATTGCATTGGGCCTAATGCAGCAATTCCCAGATTAAACTGCAGCAATATAGGATGTTTAATTTGCATTTCACTGCAACTTTCTACGGTGAATGTAGTCTTATAAGCATCATAAAACTGTTGTTTGCGATGTGGAGTCAGCGTTTATTTAGCGTTCATGTGGCAACTCCTCTTTCATTTCAGAAGCTCGCCGACAGTAAATATGCCCAGGAACTCATTACGGCGCGAGATTAATGACGCACCGCGGCTGCGCTAATGCCATCTGAGATGCAATCACTGCTACTTTAAAGAGACGAAGACCTGATAAAATCAGGCAGTACTCGCAGGCCAAAGGTCTGCTCTTATTGTTTAATAAGAGCAGTATGCCGTGTGTTTCAGACTGCCCACGCTATTCCAGCTGGAAGACTTTTATTCAAGCTTTAAGACTTTACAGGGTACAGAAAAAGGCCGGATCTCAGGGATGCATGATGGGGATCTGATAAAGTGCTCTGTAAGTGTACAGGAGCGTCTGAAGGTAAAAGGCCTGTTCTTTGGGGACCGCTTTGTAAAGCCGGTGGTCTCTTGCTGCGTGTCCTTTTGTCCTCTGTAGAAAATCAAACCAAGCAAGCAGCAAATGCCACTGAGACACTAAACGTCTAAAAGTGTCTCGACTCTGACAGCTATTAAATCACTGCAATCCGATGCATCATGAGGCCCTTAAACTCGTAAGACAAGTCGTGTTTAAATATGCAGATGATGCATTATCTACCTAAATATGCACTCATTTGCATAGATTTCCAGAGCAGAAATCTGTTCAAAATTCTTGTTTGATTTTGTTTCCATATTGAAGTTTCAATACTTTTAACAATTTTAACAGTTAGCACAACATCCGTCTGTGCAGACTATACGATTAACACATTTCTTGTTGCTTTGACACAAAATGCATAGAGTTAACACAAATTTAAAATGCTTGAACTTTGTTTACACACAAGCTCAACCAAGACCAAATCAATGTAATTTTACTGGCAAATTTTCGAATGCTTTCAGACTGTATGTCAGAACAGATAACATCATGCTCTAAACCTAACTTATAGGCTAAAGTCAAAGTGAACAGCTGTTCACATTGTGAGTTGAAGCACAAATATGTCCCCTGCATTTTATTTTGTTCCATAGCTAATGAGAAACAGTTGATTGAAGTTATGCAAATATATAAATTACAGCTGATTCCCATCTAGAAAACACACTCAGGTGTTGAGGTTCTTTCAGTCGCATGACCATATGATATACAGTAAAAGAGGACCTCTTTGGGCTGATATTGTGTGGAAAAGTGCACTCCTGCATAAATGTGAGATTTCAGAAGATCTGCACCAAACACTGGTTGTTTCTTTCCTTTTCTAATGTCCTGCTGCAAATAAAGCCTTTACTGCAGCAATTCTGTCTCTGTCTCTTTTTTTCCCCCATAAACCGTTCATTCTATAAAGCTACTCTGAGATTTTTGCACTGAATTTCTGCAGCAAAATAAACAAAATACATGCATTTACTAAACCCAAAAAGAAAAAGAAACTGTAGTGTAAAACACAATCTATGATATAATATACTGTCTATTAAGGTCAGACATGACACCTAAAATAATGCAGTTTCTGTAATTTCATCTGATGTTAGTGTTTTTATGATATTGTGCTATGATTGACTAAATGTTCCTGTTGGAAGAGAACATGTGTTAGTGTTTTGGAATAATTTGATTTTGAGACATGTTTGCAGTGTTTGGTAAATGTAGAGTATTGTGTTAGTGTATTATTGTAATTTGAAAGTTAGTGTTGGAGTTTAGTTTGCAATGTGTGATTTTGAGCATGAAATTAACTGTTTTGTCAATTGTGTGTTGTAGGTGTGTTGGTGTGTTAAGAGTTTAGGAAAATTGTTAGAAGTATTGAAAAAACTGTCATAGTAATCGTAAAAAACTGCAATAGCGGACACGTGTAACTGGTTTGTATCACATGTTGAACGCACTGGCTTAAAAGAACTTTACAACCATCCCCGGTCTCCACTACAGCACGTTTGTTTGTACGGTTTCAGTCTGAAACAGCATTCTTATTTTTGCCTGAACTACTGCTTTAACTATCACTATTGTCTCTATGTGCAGCAGGACATGGGTGACGTGTGTGATCAATCCTCAGAGGAGCGCGTATCGTCTCCTCATCCATCCTCACTGTAAAAGCAGAGCTCCTTCTTGATCCCACGGAGCAGGACGCGTGTGACGAGTGAGTCCTGCGAGAGATCAGCCGAGCAGGGGATAATTACAGCCCACACTGCTGCTGTCAGCACTGCTGTACGGACAGTCTGTGTGTCTGTGTGAGTGTGAGTGTGAGTGTGTCTGTGTCTGTGTCTGTGTGTGTGTGTGTGTGGTAATAAATAGATAATCAGATGAGCTTTACATTCGTCAGATCCCCAGAAGCTTCTGGAACATTCGGCTCGACTCTTTATGATTTATGGACTAAACCTGAGAGTTATTTCATTCCTTTTTTGGGAAGAAATAAATACCTGCAATGCTGCAATTTCATACTTGTCCAGAAGAGTTGAGAAATGTTTGTTTGTCCACCAGTTTGGAGCCGATTAGCATTCGTTTCTTCCCACAATTTTTGCTGAAGCCATTGCATACGTCACACAAACTCCTTTGAGTCTGTTTTTATTTTCGCCAAGTAATTTTTAATTCCGTTTAGAGCAGGGGTGTCAAACTCAGTTCCTGGAGGGCCACAGCCCTGCACAGTTTAAATATAACCCTAATTAAACACATCTGATCCAGGTCTGGACGGCCACAGCCCTGCAGAGTTTAGTTCCAACCCTGCTCCAACACACATACCATGTAGTTCTCAAATAAGCCTAAATGATTAGATTACCTGGATCAGATGTGTTTAATTAGGGTTATATTTAAACTGTGCAGGGCTGTGGCCCTCCAGGAACTGAGTTTGACACCCTTGGTTTAGAGTAAAAATAGCTTGTTTATATTTCCTTTTAACCCTATAAAGCTACCGTGTCATATTTCTAAGGTCTCTAAATGATCAGACTTTGCTGTTTCTCACTCAATCTCCTGCATATCTTCTGTCTCTGATTGAGAGTTTAGAGTGTTTTCTCCAGTCAAAGCTCTTTAGTGTAATTGTACTCGAGCTTCACGTTTGAAATCTTGACTGGTTTTTATCAAGTAAGTGTCAGAATAACTGCAGTAATATCTCCAGATGAACACTTACTGGACTGAAGCAGCTCAGCTTTACTTGATTCTCCATCAATCATGTTTTAGAGTCTCAAATCTGACCCTCAGGATCTTTTGAGGAGCGTTTGTTTCCAGAAGCTTTACTTTCACTGTTCCTCAGCGGAGGAATGATCTTCACAAGCCTCCAGAACATCTCACATCATCTGAGGAGCCTTTATTTCTTCAGCTCTCAATCACTGCGTTATATGTTTGGATCATTTCAATCTCATTTTACTGAGACAGATTACTGGAGATATAGAGCGACGACTGATATTTAGATAATTTTATATAATTATCTGCTGTACTGTTATAAAGATCTCACAAGCATCAGAATTTCATCCCTTTTTTTGGCTATATAAAAACCAGCATCTGCAACAAATTGCAAATATATTGAACATTAATGCAGGCCTTACAGAGCTAAGAAGGTTAAATTTTAACATTTAATGATCACAACATTACTGAGAGCTTCTCATTGGCTTCAGCGAGATCTGGTTCTTCTTGATCTTTAATTGAGACCAAAACAAGCCATTTTCAAGGTCTGAGTCTGAAAATCCATGAAAATCACTTCCCCACAAAACTGACAAACACAACATGATGTCCTCGGGTGTCCAAATATCTTTACAAGAGACAAACAACGTGAAACTGGGTGTTTGTGTTTGTTGTAAAGCTGAATCCTGAGAGCTCAGTCACACGTCCAGGTCTTACAGTACTTTAGCCCAAAAATGAAATATAAGAAATAATATATTGCATAAAAATGACTATTTATTTTTTCCCTGAATAATAATGTCACAGTGGAAAAACAGGCTTTTTTCTTATAAATCTGAGGTGAAATGTGACCCTGACATGTCTTTCTGAAATTCACTCTTAAATACTATTAGTTTATATCTTACTTGTGTTTCTGCTCCTCACATTATTTGTTGTCGTCTCCTGTATGTAGTTTTAGTGCCGCTGGATCCGTGCCGAATCACATCTGCGTCTGAGGGTTCAGCTGCTCCGTCTGTACAGAAATACACAAATATCATCACAATTGAAGCTCATTAAAGAAAAACATGTTTATGAATCACATTATTCCTTCCCTGCATTCTTCACTTGCAACACCAAGGTCATGGGTTTGAATCTCAGGAAATGAATAAACTGATAAAATGTATATCTTGAGAGCAATGCAAGTCGATTTGGATAAAAGCTTCTGCCAAATGAGTAAATGTAAAAGTATTATTCAACCCAGCTGACAGAGAACATCCACAGAACGCTCTCTTGAAGTTCAGAACAAATGTTCGTCCAGTAATGCTAATAGAACGTTCATTCAGAGTCTATAATAACATTCTAAAAATCTTAGACATCATCCAATGTTCTTCTGAAACATTTCAGTTGGATGCTTGTCTAACGTTTTTTCAAATGTTACTTTCAGATTGTTCAGAGAATATTCAAAAGTAACATCAAAAGTAATGTTTGCAAAAATGATACAATGGAACGTTCTGTTAACGTTTAAACGTGTAACATAAAAAAAAACTGGGCATTTTGAACAACCAAGAATAACGTTTTCATAACTTTAGAACATTCTTGAAATGTTCTCACTGGCTTTCAATTGAAACAAGCCTCTGTGAGTAATATCTGCATTGCTGGACTTTTACTCGAGTGGATTGTGAGATGTGAATTATGTGATCATCAGAAAAGACAAGAAATGCAGAAAAATGCATTTGATTTTGTTTAACGTCTTCTTTAAAATAGCATGCACTGATGCGGGACGTGTTTCTGAATGTCGTGGTTTTTTTGAGAATAATGTCTCTCTCAGGGAACCGAGCGGCTGAGGATGCATTACATGCACCATGTACTTTCCAGATGTTTCTGTACGGAGTAATGCTTCTGTAGCTGTGACAATGTCTTCATTCACAGACAATCTGTGACATTCAGATGCGCATCTAATCATATCTGTTCAATTCACTGAAAAACATCAGATTCTGTTCAGAGTATGAGTGTGTAGATTGGAGATGATTAATAAAATCATCATTCTGTCCAGCATTACAGCCCATATATATATATATATATATATATATATATACAGTG